TGTACATTGAGTTGGTCAGCTCCCGGATCTTTGGGAAGAAGCACATGGAATATTTTCCATGTGATCTTAGGACTGGTCGCTGGTGCAGTTTAAACTTCTTGCATATGAGATGTTTGAATTTATAAATTAAGTATTTATGAACATGCTTGGCTTTTAGACATCTCACTGAGCTGAGTGTTCTTCAGCCCTTCAAAAAGTATGTAGTAACTTCTGAAGTTGAAAATTATTAACTTCTTTCTCCCTAAATTCCCCCCCCAGCTGACTGGAATTGCAATTGGAGCTGCAGTTGCACTGTTGCTTATAGCAGTTATTGTGTTTGTCGTGTACAGAAGAGTGAGACAATCTAGTAAGTATTTGGTAACCATGTAAGTTTTCAAACCAATTTTTCCATCGATCCCGAGTCTTTCTGTAGTTTTCTCGGGTAGTTGTTGCTGTAGAGGTGTGCTTCTTGCAGGACAGCAGCTTTGAAGGATGGAGACCTCGTGGTGGCTCCCTTCCCCAGGTGTGAGCCCAGAGCTGCCCCATGCAGGACCTGGAGCTTTTATTTCCTTGGCTGTGAGCAGTGTCAGCCTCAGATCAGTGGTGAATTATGCAGAGGAGTTCAACCCTACTGTGATTTCAGTGTCACAGGAAGGAGAAATGATTGAATTAGAGGTTTCCTTCAGGAGATTAAAGCTGCCCAACCCTCCTGTCTGTTTAGAGCCCTTGATCTCCTCTGGGCTGAGGTGGAGCCTCAAGGCAGCCCTGCCTGGGTCTGGCTTGGCCAGAGCTGGGGAATGAGGGGTCCCAGGGTGGCTCAGATCCCAAACGCTGCCCAGGAGCTGCTCTGGAGGCAGCAAAGCCCCCCAGCTGTGCTCAGGTGCTCTCCCAGCTGCTGAAGGTGGTTTCTGATGTGGTGCTTCTGTTCCAGAACAACTCCAGCCACACGTGCCTCAGTACAGGTTTCGCAAGAGGGACAAAGTGATGTTCTACGGGAGGAAGATCATGAGGAAGGTGAGGGCACCTGGAAAGGGGGAGGGAAGATGAAAATCCAGCTTGGGAGGTGTAAAGTTTGCTGTAGTTCACTGGCTGAGCTTGGCCCAGGGCCTGTAAATCTCACTGGGATGTTGTGGATGTTTCACAACTCCTGCAACACTGGTTGGATTGCTGAGGGAGCAGCAGCAGCTTCTCTTTCTGGCCAGACCTTTCCTCTTTGAAAAATATTTGCAGTCAATGAGGGTAGCAATAAATCAATGAGTATCTAACTCCTGTAGGGAGTTAATGATTGTTTAAATATCCCTGAATCCCAGACTGGTTTGGGTTGGAAAGAACCTTAAAGCTCATCCCATTCCACCCCTGTCAGGGACATGGACACCTTCCACTGTCCCAGGCTGCTCCCAGCCCTGTCCAGCCTGGCCTGGGACACTTCCAGGGATCCAGGGGCAGCCACAGCTGCTCTGGGCACCTGTGCCAGGGCCTCACCAACCTCACAGGATCCTGACTGTTCTCTGTGCTGCCAAGTCTGGGTGTGCACTCACTGCAAACCATCTGTAGAAAAATAAGGTACAGGGAAGTAACCATCCTTAGTCACCCTGTGTGGAGGAACACTTCCTCCTGTGAACTGTGAACTGCCCCAGCCTCTGCCTTCCACACTTCACTGGTGGGTTTAATTCAGTTCTGGAGCTGTGTCATTGTGAAGGAGGTGGTTCCTCCCTGAATCTTGCATAGCAGGTCAGCCTTTAAGAAGAACTTGGCCAAAAAAGCCCTCAATTAGAGGAAATTTTGTGTGTGCAATGTTATAATTTTAATATTCTTTATTATTTTAATATGCAGTTTCTTAATTTGAATAATTTTTAGCCAAGCTGTTTATATGTAATTCACATAAGTAAAGAATGCTTTGAATTACACATAGAAAAATAATTTCAGGTAGTTTTTTGTTTGAGTTTTAGACCTTACTTTTTGATTTTCTTCCTGAGTAAGGCAGAGAACATTACACCCAAACTGACTGCTGTAGGTTGCACTTCATGGGTTTTTGATAACATAACAAGATTTTACGTAAAAAAAAAAAATCCTTCCAAACTAATTAGAGATTTCTTTTGCAACAGAAACTTTTTACAGAGATTCAACTGCTTGGATGGAAAACTGGGGAATGTTTTGAAAATACCTAATGAGGGGCTTGCTTGGTGTAGCAGTTGTGATTTTTCTCCAGAGGGTGGCACTTGAGAACTAGGAAATGCAAGGAAAAGCCTTGGTTTGTCACCATCACATCCAGATAGAATCCTGGAATATCCTCAGGATATCCAACAGGATCACCCAGCCCAGCCCCTGGCCCTGCCCAGACCCCCCAAAATCCCACCCTGGGCATCCCTGTCAGCGCTGGCCAAAGGCTCCTGGAGCTCTGGCAGCCTCGGGGCCGTGCCCATTCCCTGGGCAGCCTGGGCAGTGCCAGCACCTCTGGGGGAAGAACCTTTCCTGCTCTCCAGCCTGAGCTGCCCTGGCCCAGCTCCAGCTGTGCCCTGGCTCCTGTCCCTGTCCCAGAGCAGAGGTCAGTGCCTTACTCCTCTTCCTGATGCTGAGTGTTCCTGAATGAGAACCAGAGCTAAGAGTCCTTCCCCTCTACCATCCATTAGCACTGTAGTAGTTGACTGGTAAAATCAAAATATACTCTACTTGCTTTAGTAGATATCTGCTTGATCCTGGAGTAGATATTCCAATCTTCCAAAGTCTTATATGAGCTCCTCACTCTGCTCACACTCAGATGGCTGGTAAATGTGTTGGTGCCTCAGCTGGGTAGGTTTTTTTGGTTTTGGGTTTTTGTGACTGTTTTTGTGTCCATGCTTTCCCCTAGGTGACAACTCTTCCCAACTCTCTGGTTGGGAACACTGTCCCTCGCCAAAGGATGCGGAAACGGGCAAAGGTTTTATCTCTGGCTAAAAGGTACTTGGGACTTTGGGAAGGGGAAAATTCACATCATGGGGGCTGGTGTGGGGTTTTTGTTTGTGATGGAGAACTTGTCCCTAGCAGAGCCCTTTTCTGTAGCTGCTGGTTTTTCCCAGTCCTGTCAGCTCTGGATCAGCTGGGAGGTTTGCTGAACTGGGATGGTTTTGGTGAGGAAAGGCAGGAGGGTAGAATGTTTTAGCTAGCTGGCAATGTGTAACTCAGAATGGTGAATTTTAATATTTACTATATACTTACTTAACATTTCTTATTAGTACAGATTTAATAATTTGTATTAGGACAAATGAGAAAACATCCTGAACTTCTTTTTTTCTTTGTAGGATTTTGCGTATTAAGAAGGAATGTCCAACTCTGCAGAGGAAAGAACCTCCTCCTTCTTTGCTAGAGGCAGATCTGACTGAATTTGATGTTAAGAATTCCCACTTGCCATCAGAAGTCCTGTACATGCTTAAAAATGTCAGGTAATGTTAAATGGAAAGAGAAATTTAGAGTTTGGTTCTGATGGATGTTCAAGTGATGTAAATATTTGACAGTTTGTGTCAAATCTCAGATTTTACAACTGCATGGTCAGAATCCTGAGGGAGTTGACTGAAATTCATGTGAGCATAAGGGCACAATAAATGACTTTGAATTTTCTAGGAACATTAAAAAATGGTTGAGTTTGTTGAAAAAGTTAAAAAAAGACATGGGGAGAAAAAGGAATTAGTTTAGTTGTCTCAGCTTGGGAATAGTGCTAATAAAGGTGTTCTAACAGATTTATTGCATTTTGAAACTTCTGTTTGGGCTGTATCAGACAATTTTTTTTGTGCACAGAAAAGCATCATAATTGGTAAATGTTAATTGGATACCATATTGACAGCTCCCTGGGCTGCAGGATCTTTTACTTCTCTACCTGAAAAGGTTGCAAATAAATCAAAGTCAGCTTAATCCCCACAGCTCTTTGGTTAACTAAGGAGGGATGGTCTTTGTGGCCCTTCAGCAAGGGGTTAAATTGCTGACAGAGCAAAGAGGAGGAGATCTTCCAATCTGTAATTTCAGTTTTGCTTGTGGATGGTCATTTTTCCTCCCAGTTGTGATATAATGTAGTCCTGAAGGTCATATATTCTCAAATAAAAAGGCTATTTCAGTCATCTGAACTTGCTACTGTGGAGTTATGGTCTTCTATGACTAATTGATGTTGCAGTAGGATTTGATGGATTGATCCTGATAAATATGAGCTGTTGGAGCTCTGTACAGGGTGATCAGGTGTGGAACCCATATTTCTCTCTGCCTGGCAGTGACTGACTGGAATCCACGTGCATGTTACCAGCAGGAGATGGAATATTCCAAACTTGCAATTATGTGCAGATGACAGGAGCTTTTCCCTCTTTTCAGTATTTCTCCTGTGTCCTGCTTCCATGGACAGGGCAGCTGCACTAAAAGAGGAAGTTCCTGGGGTAACTTTTTTCATGGAGTTTATGTTTCTGGCAGGTTTTTATTTTTATTCCCCTCCACAGGCCATGCTGGTGTTTGCTGGAGGAAGTTTGGCTATAATTCTTTCTGAGCCTGCAGTCCTTGGAGGGCTCCTTTGGAGCATTTACAGTTCTGTGTTTCATGCTGCTCTTGCACCTTCTTTTGGGGAGCTCTTTGAGGCTCCTTCCCTGCAGCTGCTCCTCTGGGCTTCCTCTGCTCATCACAGCTGAGGCTTTGCTAATTGAGGAAGGATTTTCCAAAGGCTGTGGCGATTTCAGGTTTTCCCTTTGCATTTTCTTTGCTGCAGAGTCCTTGGGCACTTTGAGAAGCCCCTGTTCCTGGAGCTGTGCAAGCACATGTTCTTTGTGCAGCTGCACGAGGGCGAGTACATCTTCCGTCCCGGGCAGCTGGACAACAGCATCTACGTGGTGCAGGATGGAAAGCTGGAAGTTTGCATCCAAGAAAGTGTAAGGACCTGTTCAGACTCAGATGTTTATTAGTTCTTATCTATGTTACAGTCTCACAAGCTGTGAGTTTTGCAGTACTTTTCTCTAACGGTAAAAATGGAGCCTCATCTCTCTCTACAAGGTCTTTTAAGGATAAACTGTCTAATTAAGAAATTATACCTAAATTATTTTTACTTTTAACCCAATAACCAACCACCTGTGCCCTGCAATGTGGACTTTTCTATCCAATTACACAATACCACCACAAACCCTGGAGGAGGTGAAGAAGAAGAAGAAGAAGAAGGACCAGCCTCCACCCTAAAACCTCCATCTTGCTTTATATATATTACTATATTCTAAACCCTTAAACTCTAAGTTTTCCACCACATGATATTACACACTTCTATTCAAACTCCACACCCACAATCCCAGTTCTGTCATTCCATTTTGGAGCCTTCTCCATGGCCTCAGGTTAATGCAGGGTTCTCTTGGGGGTCAGTGCCTGGCAGCACAGAGTCTGAAATTCTCAGTGTCCAGGGTTCCAGCAAGAACCCACTGCTCTGCACTTCCTGAGAGAAATCTGCTGGCACAGCAGATAGGCTGGCATGAATCACTAAGCATTGATTAAACTCAGACATGTGAATCACAGTGGTTTAGGAGGGATTAATCCCAGCTCTTTGGGGCCATGGTGTTTGTAAAGATCAAGGTTTGTAGCAGTCCTCGTGTCTCAGATGAGAGAGCAGAACACAAAGCTGATGAGGCAGCTGGAATTATCCTCATCAGGAGATGCAGATGTTACTGAGTGAAGACAGGGTGCAAGGTGGGATTGGAAGCATTCACCTTTGGAAAGGTCATTACAGAAAATATTTGGGCACAGAGAGCAGGAGAGACCAAGCTCAGTCCAGCAGGAGTCAGTGGATTTGTCTGGGAGGTGGAAAAGTCAGATTCACTTTTGGGTAGACAGGGGAAAAAAGACGATGCTTTCTGTTCCATGTGGGTCTCAAAATGTTGAGCACCAGTCTTTGTGATCCCTTCTGCCAAGTTAAAAATTTAATTTTTACCTTCTTCCTGATGGAACTTTGTGTTTAACTTTTGGATGTGAGCAGTTTTCCAGTGGCTGAAAGTTTAGTGGGCTTGTATTTAGAAATTATATCAAATTTGCTGATTTCTGTGTATTTTTAAATTTTGCTGCTCCTGTTTCGTACAACCTCTTGACAGGTAACCCCTCAGTAAAGGGAGCTCATTCTACCTCTGGATGAAGGAAGCTGTGTTTTGTTGGTGTTACATTGCAAAGACAAGCAGGTCACAACATCCCTGGGAAAAACTGGCTCATAGTTTCTTTTAATTTATCACTTTTAGAATGCTGGTCTAAAACTCTGTGGTTGGAATTAGCACATTTCCATGAGAGCAGAGGGAAAAGAAGCACCTGAGCTTTCAGAAATGCTCCAAGTTTGCCAAGATGCAGCTGTGAGCCTGCAGTAATGCTGTGTGTGTGCTTGCAGGATGGAACAGAGGTGGTGGTGAAGGAGGTGCTGGCAGGAGACAGCGTGCACAGCCTGCTGAGCATCCTGGATGTCATCACGGTGAGTTCTGGGAGGGGCACATCCCTGCTGGCTCCCACAGAGCCTTGGGCATTCCTAGGGAAGAATCAGGATGCAAAATGGTTTTTTGGATGAGTTCTCCTCCTCCCAGGCCTTCACAGGTCTAAGCTGAGCTTGGTGGTGTGGAGGGTGGTTGTGAAATGTGTGCTTGACTGGCTGCTTCTGATTGGCAGGAGGATTGAATGATCCATTGTGTCTGGAAAACTGAGATTACAGTTTGATTTGCTTAAATCACAATTCGGGCAGGAGCAGGGTCAGGCTGGGGCCCAGCAGTCCAGGCTTTTACGTGTTTGATGGGTTGCTTAATGAATTTGTTTTTATTTAGTCTAATGAAAATAAATCTGACAGTTGTTAGTATATTGTATTTATACTTTGAAACTAGTTGACGAATTTATTTTGCTTGGTAACATCAGTGGTGCTGGTGGCCAGCTGAGGGCTGTGCTCTTTAGCAGGGGCCAGGATGAGCTGAATGCTGATCTTATTCAGTGCAAAATTGGTGGATTTTGTTCCAGTTGGAATTATCTTGATGGTTTTTTGGAAATCACTTTAGAAATGCCTAAATGAAAGGTGTTGAATTCAACATCTTTGATAATACCCAAACCCTGTAGGTGTTTCTTGAAGGATTTTGGTAGGATAGGATTTGAGAGGATGAAGATAAATCTAATCAATAAGTTGTTCATGTTTACCTTGTGTCCTGTTTCTGCCATGCTTGGCTGTTGCTGTTCATTAAAAAGTGCCATTGCTCTGTGTGTGAGGAGTTAAAGGATTCTCTGAAGTGTTCTTTGTCATTTCCAAAAGCAGGCACACACCTCTGTAACCACATTATCTGTACATCTATATTATGTATACCTGTAGTTCCCATAAAACCTATCAACAATGAGAACATTTTTAAGCTTGGTCACAGTTTTCTCTGTAGAAAGGGAATAATTTGGACTGTAACAAGTCTAGTTCTTGCTGTCAAATTAATAATATCTTTGTAAATTCGTATTAGTACCTTTGCTCTTGTTACTTCCACCACCAAATTTTCTTAATGACAATGTTCTAAAGAGCAGGGCCATCATAAAGGAGCATGAATACCAGTCATGTTCCTGCTTGTTTAAAAGGAATATAAGAAAAGAAATCCTTGTATAGTAGTGCTTTATGGCTTTGTTTTCTAAAGAAGTGGTTGCCATTCATTTTTTATCCTGTTGGGGTTTTTTTTTATTTTTAATTCTCTTTCTGTCATTTTTTTCTCTTTCTCATTAGTTATAGCACTGGTAAGTAAAAGAAATAGAAATGATTGAAAGTGTGCTGAACAGAGTTAGCAGTCTGCAGAAGAATCTGTAATGAAAAAACCTTGAAATATTTTTTGCTAAACTTGTTCTCATTTATTTTTACAGCTCCTTTGTTCCTCACTTCTCAGCTTCGTGAGCTGCTTGTTTCACTGCTGTTTTTCCTCTTCCTTATGGTCCTTGCAGACTTTAGGTAGAGGAGTAACATGAAAATAGGCAAGGAGAGAGGAAGTAGCACTGGATCAAAATAAAGGAGACCTCTCAGTGTCATCGCAAAGCAGTGAGTGAGTCTTAGAACATCTGCAGATACCATAACCTGAATTAGATTTCACTGCACCACCAAACACATGGCTGTGATGTGGAGAAAGGGTGCATTCAGTGAGGATTTCAGTTGTCTGAGCTGGATTTGTGATTCTTTTGACTGATTTTGCAGCACGTGATATCAGGCTGGTCCTTTACTTACTTGAGTGTTGTGCAAGAAGGTTGAGGGTACTGCAAGAAGTGGCAAGATCTTGTTGGTGGACCTGAAAGAAAGGTCACACCAGAGGTACTTTTCTAATTGAATCTTTCAGCTTTTGAACTGAAAAGTCCCTTCAATTCTACTAAATACAAAAGTAGCAGCTGTGACATGAGCCTCCCCTTATTCTGAGAACAGATTGATGCTGCTTTCTCCAAACTCTGAGGAGAAACTGGGAGCTTTTAAATCCAAGTAGTTGCAGACCTTTTCCTGGTATTCTGGAACAGTTCTGAGGTGCAGTTAATGACTTTGACTTGATATTGCCTCAAATACCAAAGAAATCTCTGAGCTGAGCTTTGTTGATGTCTTTGTTTTCAGCAACCCTTGTTGAGAGTTTGTGTATGCAGCCAGAGCTTTTCCCGGAGCAGTCAATGTTCATCCAGAGCTTTTCCCAGAGCAGTCAGTGTTCATCCAGAGTGAACTGGTCCAGCAGAGATGTGATGCTATTGCTGGAGGTCTGGGATTCACTCTTCTCTTGTTTTCCATGTGGAGATGCTCTTAGGAAAACTGAGGCCTGGTGGCATAGTTGGAATAAGAAAGTTGGAGAAAGAAGAGGCTGTGAGGGATGTTGATCAAATGGCAGTGATTGAGGGGGGGAAAAATGAAAGTCAGGATTACAAGAAGCTGGAAAAACACTTGGATAAAGGTGAGCCTGCAGGGCTGACAAGATAGATGAGGTTGTAAAAAAGTGATTGATGACTGCAAGAGCTTTGGGTGCAGCAGTGTTGATGTAGAGGATGTCAGGAAGGTGCAGAAGAAGACAAAATCCAGCCATGGAAATGCAAAGAACATCCCAGATTTTTGGGTCCAAAGAGGAGCTACCTGCAGGTGGGAGAATGTGAAACATCCAGCAGAGTTTTTGACCAAACTTGGTTGGATTTGGCCATAAGCTGTCACTGGGGTTCAGCTGCTGCTTGGAGGCAATGCCTCAGCTCTTGGAACAAGACAGAAGTAAATAGTTACCTGCCCTGAGAACAAAAAGTTCTCTGTTGAAAAAAAACCCTGTTTCATAACTGATTATAACTTAACTGTTCTTGTCATCTCAGTGTGTGATTGCAAAATAGTATAATTTGAACGTGGTATTCTCCCTGTGCTGCTGATGGCATTAGAGCTGAGAGAAGTGACAATTATGGAAGATTTCCTCCTCACACTCCCCTGACAGCTCTTGCATGTCCCAGCCCCATTAGACGTGGTGTTGGCCCTTTCAGAGGAGCTGCTCTCATGCAGGGATTTCAGAGAGGCAAAATTATATGCTGAAAACTTGGAGGAATGGGCTGTTCTTTGGAGAAAAAGGCTTCTGCATTGTTATCTGTTATTATCCTAAAGCTGTTTTTCTGAGGTTGTCAGCACTGAGCACTTTCCAGAAAATACCCAAACACATTTCTGGGTAGACTGGGAACCAGAGTACTGGGATACCCAGGGATCAGTTAGCTCTTTGGAAAAACTAATGAAATACCTTTAAACTTGATACTTATCATTGTCCAGCAACTAAAAATGTAATAATTTCCTTGTTTTTTTACTATATTTTTGCTGTAGAGATGGGTAGAAAAACATTTGATAGCAAATACAGTGCTTAAAAGCAGACTGTATACATTTTCTTTTACATGTAAGTATGAGTAGTACAAATTAATTCTTCATGTAAAACCTGACTTCAAACTAGCCTGTAAAAGAGGATTGCTGCATTTATTTTTGGGTACAGCCAAAGCACAGAAATGTTATTTGTTAATTTCTTTACTTAATTAAAAGAAACTTGGGAAAACTGAGGACACTGGGAGCTTTGCACTGTTGGTCAAAGAGATGTTTAAAATTTCAGATTCCTCAGGAACTTGAAAATCAAGGCTATTAATATCATCCCTAGATTTTATAAAAAGGTCAGCTGAAGTTGGTGTAATTAAGAAATTGGTTCCAATTAATCTAATTTAATTTTAGAATCTGCTTCACAGTGCCTTCCAGACCAGCAGGCAGACAGAGCTGCAGCTTTATTTTCCAGAGTGGTTAGAGAAAGTCTCTTGTTTGGTTTTGCTGGGTTCTTTAGGCAGGAATTCCTTCAAAGTGCTTGTGTTGAGTTGTGTGATACTCTGCAAGTCTTGCAGGCAGTTTGGTTTGTAATCAGCATTTAACATCTTTGTGTCAGTGCTGGGAAAAAGGTGTTTTGTGTTGCTCTGGGAGGGGAAAGCTGCTGGAGCTGTGAGGTGTTAAAATAGAAACTCCATTTCTTCATCTGCTCCTGCTCTGTGCTGCAAACAGGCTCATTTTATCTTATAAATACTGTGTAAATCAATATTTGATGGATTAGTAAATTAATTTATGAGTTAGAGATGTTGTTTCCAGCATTTATTGAGTGAAAGGGGCATTGTCTGCCTTTTCATCCAAGTGTTTGGCAGTAGATTTTTGTTAAAATCTATTCTCATTTAGAGGGGGAAAATCCAAACCCAGAGGCTTGCTTTCCAGTGTGAAAAAAATCTCTGTATTCTACCCACTTCATTTGTTTGTTAGTTCTCCATCTGTTCTTTGAGCAGCATGGTCTAGACCCACGTTGTCTCCAGTAAAGAGAAGCTGTTTGGATTTGTCACATGGAATATTTGAAGTTTATATCTATGAAAAAAAATGTATCTATATCTTGAAACACAAGAAGTCTGCCTGTCTTTTGTCTTCCTCCATTATGTCTGTAATTACTGTACAATTTTGTTGTGTTTTTCACTGGTTGTGTGAGTCTGGGGTTGTTTTTGCATCAAATAACTTGGTTGTCAGCACAGATAATAAAATCAACAAACCCTCTTTTCTCTGCAGCCTTGTCTAGCTGGGATTTCAAAGGCTGGCTCTGCAGTACAGCTGTGTCAGAGCTGAGAGCCTGGCACTTCCCTCACCCTGATCCAACTCCCTGCAGCTCTTATTTCCCTGCCCTGTCTCTAATGCAGGTGTGAATTCACCCTTATTACACCCCCGTGGTTATGGAGCAGCAGCTGAAGGCTTTTTTGTGGTCAGAGGTGTCTGTCAGACACAGGCAACAGCAAAGCAGGAGTTTGGGTGGAATTGGATTGGATCCCTGGTGGATTAACCTCCTGTCTCTGGAACTTTCTCTTAGGGTCACCCTGCTCCCTATAAAACGGTCTCAGCCCGAGCAGCCACTCCATCCACAATACTGAGGCTTCCAGCCAGTGCCTTCCAGGATGTGTTCCAGAAATACCCTGAAACCCTTGTGAGAGTGGTGCAGGTAGGTAGAGCTGAGGGGGAAGGGGAACCACTCTCATTTCCAGGTTACAGCAGGATATTTAGAGGCTCAGCAAGCTCATCATCCATCCTTTGCTAGATACAGAACTGCTCAGCACATCTTATCAAGATTTGGATTTGTTCTGCTGTTCTCCTGGCTGTTGAGCCCTAGAGTTAATAATCCAGCATTATCCCAAACAGGAAAACATAATTTATGTATCTGTATATCTGCATTAATTGAGTTTCTGCCTGTGGTACCCTCATCAATCAGCCAGACCTGCAGTGTGAGTGTGTTGGTCCTTGGGGAGCAGAAGGGTGCTGATGTGGGCTCTGCAGCTTGGGATGCCCCAGGAGGGCTCCAGAATGGCTGAGAGTCATGAACAGACTGTCACATGTCCTGAAACAGGACTGCTGGACCCTCAGGAGCTCTTTGGTGAGGGCTGATGCTTTGGAAAAGTCTCAACACTCAGACTGATGTGTGATTTTCACTTCAGAAGCCTCTGTCAGCACCTGAGGGAAGAGCTGTGCTTTGTGTCAGTTGTGTTCACCTTCTGCTGCTTTGCAGGGGCTCACACAGCTCTCCAGTGAGCATCTCCTGCAGGTGGGAGGTGGTGCAGGGATCAGGTTAAGGATTTCCAGGGGTGGTGCCTGGTCCCACAGATAATGCAGCCGAGTCACTCTGGGCTGTCCTTTTGCTTTGCCATCAGTTCTGAATCTGTTTGTCCTTGCAAACTGTTCTGGTCTCTGGATGATTTATGAACAACACATGAACCTCCTCGTACTGCTGGGTGAAGGAGAACAGATCATTAACACCAAATTAATTTGCTCTGTGGGAGCTGATACAAAAGCAAGGATGGCTCAGGAGTGGGAGTTAGCTGGCAGGGCAGAGGAAGGTGCCACTGATTCCAGTGTTAGGTTTGAGTGCTTGTGGGGCAGTGGGACAGGTTCTCCATGGGGAGAGCTGGAATAATTTTTTTAATGAAGAGGAAAATTGGACACAAATACTTCTATTTCAAGGCAAAAAGTATTTGGTGTTTGGTAGTAAGACTTTGGATTCTTGTGTCATCAAATTATTGTGAAGTCATTGGTAAATCATTTGAATCTGTCGCAATTTATCAGCTGCTAAAAAGGAATTTCAGCTTAGGGTACAGTCTGTATTCTAAAGAATGCTTTCAGGTACTCTGGTGCATGATTGTGTCTAAATGCCAGAATGAGTGTGGGAGAATGCAAAATCTCTTGCTATTGCTTCTTTGTTCCCTGCTTGCAGATCATCATGGTGAGGCTGCAGAGGGTGACATTCCTGGCCTTGCACAACTACCTGGGGCTGACCACAGAGCTCTTCAGCTGTGTAAGTTTGGGAGGCAGGTCCTCTGCTCTCCTGGCAGGGCACACAGAGGTTTTCCTTCTTCCAGAAGGTCATAAAGCAAATGCTACCTACTAATTTCATAATGACAGTGCTTGAGGACTGAGGCACTTGTATAACCAGCCCATAAAACCCAGCCTACAATGATGCCTGGGGAATTGGTGGGGAGGCTTAAACTTCCCAAGTGCATCATTCCATGGTGATGTGTGTGCTCTGCTCGGTGCTTCAGCAGTTCTGATGTTTGCTGATGATGTCACCTCTGCCTGGAGCAGTGGGGAAAATGCTGCAGCCGTGGTGGCAGAGGGTCGGGGAATGCTCAGAGTGTCAAACTGGGAGTCCCCAGGCCCTGCTGGGACGCACTGAGGGAGCTGCAGATCCCAGGGCAAGCCACCCTTGGGGATTTGGGACTGATGAGCACAATTTGAGTGGTACGTGGGGGGGTTTGTGCAGGCTCCAGGGTGTGGAACACGTGTCAGGGGGTGGTTGATGTTTGCTTGTCCCCTCTGCTCCCAGCAGAGCCAGGGCACCCCTCTGATCTCCGTGAGCAGCGTCGCCGCTGGCGGCAGCGCCAGCAAGGCGGGCAAGAGACCAACGCCCAGTGCTTTGGAGGAGGATCGTGGAGAGAAGTTTGAAAAGTCTGGGGAAGCCCTGGAAATGGGTAATGCTTCTGGAAACATGGAGGAACTGGCCTCTGGGATCTTCTTGAATTTTTGTACTGCTCACAGAATCCCAGCCTGTGGTGTCCCCTGGGGCCTGCTCAGCCCCTGGTCATCCCCTTCCAGTCCTAGAATGGATCCCCACGCTGGCTTGGGTTGGAAAGGACCTTAAAGCCCATCCAGTGCCACCCCTGCCATGGCAGGGACACCTCCCACTGTCCCAGGCTGCTCCCAGCCCTGTCCAGCCTGGCCTTGGGCACTGCCAGGGATCCAGGGGCAG